GATGGTTTATATATAGAGTAATGGATGCCTGGGAGTGAGTTACAGACTGGAATCTAATCGAGGGGTTCAGACCGTTAATGTATACTCGAGTTGGTACACGGGATATGGGGTTCTTCAATAATAACTTCAGTTGCTATAAAGTGTCTATGGTTTCCTGATGTGGTGTGAGGAGTTATGAAACTTTGTGCTTGTGATGAACCCAATGTCCTGACCATTGACTGTTGTTGTCTTGCGTTCCTAGGTGGGACCCCTCCCGCTGACCACACAAAGGTCATCCCAACTTTCCGATACTTATCCCAGAAGCTCTTTGTTTCGGTCTCAGTCCTGGCTGGGCTTGGGATTTTGCTGGGAATCATCTGCCTCACCTTTAACATCTATAACAGTAATGTCCGGTAAGTATGGAGGTGGTGAAGGGGTTAGGAAAGTCTTGTTGGGCCTCTAATAAGCTGTTCAGTCATCACCCAATGATTCCCGTTCCGACAAAACCTCCTTTTTAAAATTCTCCAACTTCTCCAATCCCTCACCCTCCCCTCTCTCTGTTTATCCTTCCGCCTCAGAAATTCTTCATACGATATGTATTCATCTGATTCTGACCTCATGTGTATCCCTGATATTAATCATTCCAGTATCATTGGCCGTGCCTCCATCTACCTGAGCCCCCGAGCTGTGGATCATCCTCACTAAGTCCCTCTGGCTCTCTCACCAGCTTTAAGATGCACCTTAAAACCTACTCTGAGGTAGTAGGAACTGCCAATGCTGGAGTCTGAGATAACAAGGTGTAGAGCTGGATGAACACAGCAGGCCAAGCAGCATCAGGGGAGCAGAAAAGCTGACGTTTTGGGTCTGGACCCGAAACTTCTGTAGAAACTTCTGAAGAAGGGTCCAGGTCCGAAACGTCAGCTTCCCTGCTCCTTTGATGCTGCCTGGCCTTTTGTGTTCATCCAGCTCTACAACTTGTTATCTTATTTTAAAACCTACTCTTATGATTTGGTCATCTGCCCTAATATCTCATTACGTCATTTGGTGCCCTGTTTTGTTTGGAAGTTTCTACCTGCCACGTGAAGCACCTTGGGACATTTACTGCCTTGTAGGTGCTATTTCAGAAGGCTAAGAGGAGACCGGATAGAGTGTAGATAGGGCAAAACCGTCCCTGCTCGTAAAAGGAGCAAGAGCAAGAGGGCTTGTTCTAAAATGATTTGCAAAAGGAGCAAGGGTGATATGAGAAAAATTTTCTTTCACTCAGAGAGTGCTTTGGGTGTGTGTTGCACTGTCAGGAGGTGTGGGTTCAATTGAGGGGCATTCCACATTTGCATTAGATGATTGTTTAGGTACAAATAATTTGCAAGGGTATGGGGCAAGGGAAGAAGGAAATTGGTACTTGGTAATGACGCTTGTTTAGAACATAGAACAGTACAGCACAGTACAGGCCCTTTCGGCCCACGATGTTGTGCCGAACTTTTACCCTAAACCTAAGGTCTATCTAACCTTCACCCCTACCTTATACTATCATCCATATGCCTATCTAATAGCAGCTTAAATGCCCCTAATGAGGCCGACTCCACTACCCTCTCTGGCAATGCATTCCACGCCACTACCACTCTCCGAGTAAAGAACCTACCTCTGACGTCTCCCCTATATCTACCTCCACTCACTTTAAAACTATGCCCCCTTGTAATAGCTACCTCCACCCTAGGAAAAAGTCTCTGGCTGTCCACTCTACCTATACCTCTGAGCATTTTGTACACCTCTATCAAGTCACCTCTCATCCTTCGTCGTTCTAAAGAGAAAAGCCCTAGCTCTCTCAACCTTTCCTCGTAAGACCTTCCCTCCATTCCAGGCAACATCCTGGTAAATCTCCTCTGCACCCTTTTCCAATGCTTCCACATCTTTCGTGTAATGAGGTGACCAGAACCGGACACAATACTCCAGACATGGCCGAACCAGGTCTTTGTTTGAAAAGCCACTGCAGACCTTACAGGCCAAACAGACCCCCTCTGCGACGTAAGACTTCTGTGATTCTACGATACGAATGCAGGGTGTTGTTGGTAACTGTCTGGTCTTTCCCAGGTACATTCAGAATTCCCAGCCCTACCTGAATAACATGACAGCTGTGGGCTGTACACTTGCCTTGGCAGCTGTATTCCCGCTCGGACTGGATGGCTATCACATCCACCAGTGGCACTTCCCCCTTGTTTGCCAGGTGAGTCATCCAGAGAAGCGCAGACAAACAGACTTGAAACAATAACTCCATTTTTCTCTCTCCACAGGTGCTGCCAGACACGCTCAGTTTCTCCAGCACTTCCTGCTTTTACCGTTTGTTTCAGATCTCCTTTGTTTTATTCAGAAAAGGGCAGAATCTGGTCTTTATTCAGCGCCTAGAGAGTAGGAACTGCCGATGCTGGAGTCAGAGATAACACAGTGTGGAGCTGTATGAACACAGCAGGCCAGGCAACATCAGAAGAGCAGGAAAGCTGACATTTCGGGTCAGGACCCTTCTTCAGAAAGTGTAGTTGGCACACAGGTTTTATTTTCTGGAGAAGGGTCCCGACCCGAAACGTCAACTTTCCTGCTCCTCCGATGCTGCCCGGCCTGCTGTGCTCCTCCAGCTCCACTCTGTGCCATCTCTTTATTCAGCACCTTCCATCCCAAGCCCTTTGAAATGCAGTCCCTCTTACAATGTAGGAAACTTGCCAAGCCTCCTTCAACTGCTTTGTGAACCCATGAGCCACACCATCTCAAAGGACAAGGACACTCGATCCCTAAGACCAGCACCAAAGCACCAGAGAAGAACCCATCGCACCACCAAGGGCAATTAGGGATGGCCCTGCCAGTGACACTGCCATCTTATGAAAGAATAAAATAAAACCTGTGTGCCAACTACAAAGTGCATCTTCTGTGTCCACCTAGACAGACAAAGGCAGCAAATATATGAGGGCCCTACCACCTCCAAGTTCCCCGTCAACCCACGAATCATCCTGACTTGGAAATAAATTGTCGTTCCCTAATTCCCAATATCTTGGAAATCCCTTCCCAGCAGGGATGTGGGCTTCCTACTCCCCCACCCCCCCCCCCCCCCCCCCCCACCCATGGACAACTGTACCACCCTCTCAAGGGCAATTAGGAAAATGGTCAATGTATATTGAACTGGCTGTGATGCCCGCATCCCAAGGGAAATCAGAGCTGGTTGGGGATGAAAGTTTATATTAAAGTTTATATTATTATTCGGATTTTTTGCAGTAATCCCATTGTCATTTCAGACGGGATGATAGTGGATGCATATGGTCCCGCAGACCTGTCTCAATGAAGGTCAGACAGCATCGTGAAACAATAGCAAATTATTCATTATTATCACATCGCTGACTGAGGGAGCTTACTGTTCACAAATTGGTTTCCCTGTTTTCCTCCATTACAGGGGAGGTGATGGCCTAGTGGTATTTATCGCTGGACTGTCAATCCAGAGACCCAAGCAATTATTCTGAGGGACTGGGTTCGAATTGCACCACAGCAGATATGGAACTAATAATAAAGGGGGAAATACTGAAGTTAAGAGTCTAATGATAACCACAAATCCATCATTGGTTGTCAGAAAAACCCATCTGGTTCACTAATGTCCTTTTAGGGAAGGAAACTGCCATCCTTACTTGGTCTGGCCTACATGTGACTCCAGACCCACAGCAATGTGGTTGACTCTTAACTGCCCTCTGGGCAATAAATGCTGGTCTAGCCATGCCCTTGTCCTGTGAATGAACAGCAACCAATTATCCTTGTAAAGTACTCACTTGGCTTGTTAAAAAATGATTTCATGAGATACAGGTATCCCTGGCATTTATTGCCCGTAAACTGCTAGGCCATTTCAAACAGTAGTAAAAAGATTCAGCCACTTTACTGTGGGTTTGGAGTTACACACAGGCCTGACCAGGTAAGGAGGGCAGAATTCCTTCCCTAAAGGCGTGGTCAATGATAATTTCCTAATTATTGGGATTAGTTTTCAATCCTGTATGCCATTTAAATTCCACCAAAAACCATGGTGGGATCTGAGCCCTTGTATCCCAGAGCCTCCCAGTCTTGGGGCATCTAGTGACATTACCACCACCATTACCCCCCTTTGGAATTTTGAGACGTCTCGAGGTTGTTTAAAGTATAAGCTTTTTCTCTTCCTTTCTGCAGCCAGAAGTCAAAGGGCTTAGAAATGTAGGAACAGGAATAGGCCATTCAGCGTATCAAGCCTGCTCCTCCATTCTATACAATCATGGCTGATCTAACACCTGTCCTTTTAGCCATACCCCATCCTCATAATCCTTTGTGCCACTGGTAATCAGAAACCTATCAATCTCACCCTTAAACATACGCAAAGACTGAGCTTCCACATCTCTCTGTGGTAGAGAACCCCAAAGGTGCACACCCCTCTGAGTGAAATAATTTCTCCCAGTCTCTTATCTGGACTTTCCAACCGGAGAAAATGTCTTACCTACATCTACCTTGTCTATCTCTGTGAGTTCGCTGCTCATTCTCCTTCTTCAAAAACTCTGAAGAATACAGGCTCAATTTCCTAACTTCTTTTCTCCTGCCACTCTGGGAACAAGCCTGATGAACCTTTGTCACTCTCGCTGTATGGCAACAGTACCTTTCCTGGGCTAAGGAGACCATAACTATAGAGGGTATTCCACGTACATCTAACCATTCTCCTATACAATTGAAGCAAGGCTTCTCTCCTCCTAACTCAAATCCACTTTGATTGTATTTCTTTCGCAACAGGTCACTGGCGGAAGTTCTGACCAAGTTTAGGATCAGGTATTACTGCATTACTGTAGCCGTGACCCGCTGGACAACGAGGGGCTTTATTCTTATATGTCACTGTTGCCACAGTAATCCCCCCCCCCCCCCCCCCCCCCCGCAACCTTGAGTTTGCTCTCCAACTAGAGAGAGGTGACTGTAGTGAGGATTAACCCCTGAAGGTCACGCCACTTCCAAGTGAGGGCACGAGGTGGAGCTCGGTGGCGATTCCGACTGTGCAGGGATTGAACCCACACTATTGGCATCACTGCGCGTCCTCAAAGCAGCTGTGCAGCCAACCAAGCCATTTCCACAGTTGGTGGGATGTGGGCGTCGCTGGCTCGGCCTGCATTTATTGCCCATCCCTAACTGCCCTGCAGCGGGGTTGTTGGGAGGGGTTTCTCGCTGGGGCCATTATGCTGTGGCAAACTGAAGGGTTCTGCCGGTTGCTATGGCGTTCCGTTGCCTACGTGCTATTTTTAGTGCCCTTGTTAATTCGTTTTGTGCTGCACTTGATGTCTGTGTTATTTCACCGGCACTGTTAACCCATCAATTACTGCGATGAAGAGGGCACAAGCAAATGAACTAAAAGAAAAGATCAATGATGGAGGAGAGCAGAATGATCCTGAATGGGAAGTTTGATCACGTCAGTGATTTTAACAAGAAGTCAAGTGTACTACGCCAGTGTCATGCCTCATTAGAAAGGCAGCAGCTCTGATAGAACAGCACCTCCTCAGCATAAGCCAAAATTAACCTTCACTTTGTGCTCGTGGCTGAGGAGTAGAGCTTGAAAGGTAACCTTCTGAGGCAAGGGAGTTCTCCACTGGCCCACGGCTGGATGAACAAAGATGGGCTGAACGGCACTTCCTCAAGCATTCCTGGCTGCTGTGACCCTATTTACGATTGAACTGCACAGAAGTCTCCAATTGGCTACACTCCTGCCCCTGAGTCAGAAGATCTTGCATTAGATTCACACTCTAGGGGGTGTGTCCAAAGTCCAGACCAACGCCCCTTGTACAGAGCTGAGAGACTTTATTATCAGAAGTGTCAGCTTTTGCAGGAGACATTAAGCCAAGACCCCACCCACCTTCTCAGATGGACACAAATTTAAAGAGCAGAATGGTTATTTGAGTCAATATTTAATCCCTCAGCCAAAATTGCTACAATAAATCATCTCAGCATTATCCCTTCGCGGTGTACAAAATTGGCTGCCACACCTTCTACAACATTGACTACCCTTCAAAATGATTTTAAAGTTGCTTTGGAATGATTAAGGTTGTGAAAGTTCTTTCAGCGAAGTGACAACGGCTGTGGGTCTTATTGGAGGGTCAGAAAACCCATTGCGGCCTACTTCCAAACAGAAAGCCTGACTGGGTTTTTGTTTTATTCCCCACGGGCTGTTTTGTGCTGTCGGGGGATTTGAAAATTCTAATTGTGGCGATACTTTGGCTTTAACAGTTGTGATTTGTCCTAGTTTCTTTTCTGAAGAAAGGTTGAGACAGAAAGGACAAGCATTCTACTCAAAGCCAATAAAGTAAACAGCTTGTGAGGCCTTGAGTTTTTTTTTTAAAAGTGGGAACGATAGAAGCAGCCTGAATGGGTGGGGTCAAGCTCCCACAGAACCAGAATTTTTAGTTTTAGCTTTCAGTAGCAGTTGCTGGGGTCTTGTAGCTGGATGTGGAAGCTCTAATTCCTCTCTGTTACAGATAAAAGCTGGGGTTCTCTTCCTGTTGCTAGAATTGCATGAGAGACAATTTATTTTACTGAATTTGCTAATGGGTGAGTTTATGGAACGTTATTATATTGAAAGCGTTAACCAGTAGTAGTTAAGATATGCAATACTTTGTTAAGCATTTCAATAGAGTTAAGGTTAAGTCAATTATTTTGTTTTTACTTTGTCTGTATTTTAACTACAGTGTAAAAATACAGTACGTTTTACTTGAAGTCAAGTAATTTGACCAATCGAATTGCATTCGGAACGCAAGGAAAAGTCAGGGTCTAGGGTATCTGTTAATACATTTTGAGGGGGTTTGCTCTGGTCCATGACATAGTGCTTGAATCTTCTCAAAAAGGGTGAGGCTCGTGGGCCAGTGTGCATCTCGAAATTAAATGTTAAAGTGGTCTTTTGTTTTCCTCCCACAGGCTCGAGTGTGGCTACTAGGCCTGGGCTTCAGCCTAGCTTATGGCAGCATGTTCACCAAGATCTGGTGGGTCCACACTGTGTTTACCAAGAAGGACGACAAGAAGGAGAAACGGAAAGTATGGCTGGCGGCTTTTCTTTAAAAAAAAATGACATGAATGTCACTGGCTTTCAGCCAGCATTTGTTAATGTGGTGAATAAGAGGGAAATGGGTGACATACAGCTATCAGCCTGTGCTCATTGTTTCAGCAATAACGCATAGATCTTAATGATTATTTCATCCTTATTTGTTCAGTCCACTGTAGGCTTGTGCACTCTCTCCCATCCCCTGTCAAACTGCCTCCACAATCCAACAGTGTCTGAACTTTTAAGGGATCATGAATTTCCTCAGGGATGTCCTAAGGACATGAAGAATGCTGTAGAAATACACATCCTTTCTTTATCCTTGCCTCTCTCTCTCTCTTCTATTTTTTTCCTTAATTCCATCCATATTTGTTCCTTGGTCTCCTCTCTCTGTCTCCCCAACTCTCTTCCCTCCCTTTGCCTCTCTCCCTCCCCCTTCCCTTTGTCATTCTGTCTCCCTTGTTTCTCTCTGTCCCTCTCCCATTCCCACTATCTCTCTACCTTTCCTCGTCTCGCCACCTGTCCTCCTTGCCCCCATCTCTGTCTCTATCCCCTCCCTCCATCCCTCTAGCTCTCTCCCTTCCCTTTGTCACACCTTCCTCTCTCTCTCTACTCCTCCTTTCTGTTTCTGCCCTGTTTCTCTCCCATCCCATTATCTCTTTTCCCTCCCTATATCTCTCTCTCTCTTCCCTTTGTCTCTTGTTTCTTCACTCTATCCTTCTATCTCTCTGTCTCTCTTCCCTCCCACTGACCTTCTTTCTCTGCCTCTCTTCCCCTTTCCATTTCTCTATCTCCTCTCTCTCTCTGTCTCTCTTCCCTCCCTTTTACGCTGTATCTCTCTCCACCCCCTCTATTTTCCCTTTGTCTGTTTGTCTTCCTTCCACCTCTGTCTTTCTCTCTCTTTGCTCTCGCTTTCCTTCTCCTTCCTGCATCTCTCTCTGTTTCGTCCCTAAATTTCTTTCCTTTCCCCTTGGCTCTTTCACCTCTCTCTCTCTCTTTGCCTCTGTCCCTCTGCTTCTCTTGCCTCTCTCTATTCCTCTGTCTCCTTGCCCCTCCCCCCTCTCTCTCTGTGTTTCTTTCACCGACTGAAAGCGTTTTTATCGACGAAGTTCACTCTTTCAGGAGAGGGAACTGTGGCAGCACCACATTTGGTGGCTGAAGTGTGACAGTGCAGCTCCTTTCTAAGAGAGGGTGAAACTGTAGGATTTAGCAGGCACAACACAGCAATGCGTGGGTCAGAGCGTAAACAGGATAAGTTTTGTCCTTACCTCAATTTAAAACAAAAACAATGCATGCTTGAATTGTTCCCTGCTCCCTCCATCTCAGCTGTAGGTAGATGGGATAGAAAGGAGCATATACTCTCTGGAATTGAGAAGAATGAGAGAGGATTCTCATGTGAATTAGATCAATTCTCAGTGGGATTGACCGGGTAGACGTTTCTTTTGGCTGGAGGAGAGAGGTGATAGATTCAGGATACGGGGCTGACCGTCCAGGGTTCCCGTGCAGAGACAAAAACAGAAGTTGCTGGAAAAGCTGGGCAGGTCTGGCAGTATCTATGAAGGGAAACCAGAGTTAATGGTTCGGGTCCGGTGACCCTTCCTCAGCGTCCACAGTTCTTTCGTATTTTTCATCACAGAGAAATGTCTTTGCTCAAAGGGTTGAAAAGATTTGCAGTTCTTCAAGTTGTCGGGCATTTTTGGGATTGGGATGACAAGGTGTAGAGCTGGATGAACACAGCAGGCCAAGCAGCATCAGAGGAGCAGGAAAGCCGACGTTTCGGGCCTAGACCCTTCTTCAGAAATAGGGGAGGGGAAGGAGATTCTGAAATAAATAGAGAGAGAGGGGGAGGCGGATAGAAGATGGATAGAGGAGAAGATAGGTGGAGAGGAGACAGACAGGTCAAAGAGGCGGGAATGGAGCCAGTAAATGTGAGTGTAGGTGGGGAGGTAGGGAGGGGATAGGTCAGTCCAGGGAGGACGGACAGGTCAAGGGGGCGGGATGAGGTTAGTAGGTAGGAGATGGGGGTGCGGCTTGAGGTGGGAGGAGGGGATAGGTGGGAGGAAGGACAGGTTAGGGAGGCAGGGACGAGCTGGGCTGGTTTTGGGATGTGGTAGGGGGAGGGGAGATTTTGAAGCTTGTGAAATCCACATTGATACCATTGGGCTGCAGTGTTCCCAAGCGGAATATGAGTTGCTGTTCCTGCAACCTTCGGGTGGCATCATTGTGGCACTGCAGGAGGCCCAGGATGGACATGTCGTCTGAGGAATGGGAGGGGGAGTTGAAATGGTTCGCGACTGGGAGGTGCAGTTGTTTATTGCGAACCGAGCGTAGGTGTTCTGCAAAGCGGTCCCCGAGCCTCCGCTTGGTTTCCCCGATGTAGAGGAGGCCACAACGGGTACAGCGTATGCAGTATACCACATTGGCAGATGTGCAGGTGAACATCTGCTTGATGTAG